CCAAATCTAGCGGATCAACGGCGCATCAACTTAGTTCCTGGTCAGCTCGCAAGTTGATATTATCACGTCCTACACCGTCCATAAGATGGGGGGCCACCTCCCATTTCATCACTCCTCAAACACCCGAGGAGCCGGCAGGCGGATTTGAACCCGGGTCGACTGGGTCGACTGGGAGCAGAAGTCAGGCCTTAACCTCTGCCAGCCGACTGCCTTACTGGCTTTCTGAAAGCTGTGCTGGTCGACATCAAATCCCATTACCATATTGTGGCACAGCAACACCTCGAGGTTGCTGTAGCCCAGATGTCTGTAACACCGAATGCCAAAGTGTTGCATGCTCCATCTTGGAATCCATGGTGGTGCATGTTGTACCATGTCCGTTGTCACAGTAGCTCGTATTCTGCGTCCTCCTGATGGTGCCTGTACTTCCACCTCGATAGCAAATGGGGTAGAGATCACCGTCCCATTCACCGGTCAACACTAAATGATTTTGCAAGTATACCTTTACTTGACCATCACTGAAGACGACGCTACCTCCGCGATCATCGATGATACGGACGGACAATATCTTTAGCATCGCCTCCTTGTCAACATAGACCCTTTTGAATGTGATGGCTTGATTGTCGTTGACATTAGATCGAATGGTAAGTGATCCAACCTTTGTCGGACGCAGTGACTGACCCTTAATGCCCACAATGCTGAAGCGTTCCCAAGGCTCCAACACACGCACATTGAGTTGTTCGGATCGGTCGCAAGTGACATGGTGAGTAGATGCGGAGTCCAGAAACCATTCCGTCGGACGCTCGTTGTTGTATGCCATGAACACTACCTGCCGTGGAACACCTGGCCCCCTAGCTGATCCACCGGATCCTGGCTTGCTGCCACTCGCTCCGCTTGTAGCCACCCTTATTTCTAGAAATTGACGACTGCTTGAGCGCTTTAAGCTGCCTGCAGTCCTTTACCACGTGCCCAGGTTTATTACAGTAGTAGCAAATGATCTGCTTTCGATTGTGTCCCGAGCTGTTGTTAGCCGGCCCCCGGCTACCATAACCAGAAGTAGAAGCACCGAATGTTGAACCGCCGATAGATGCAAATGCTGCTGACTCGGTAGATTTGCCTGACCCACCGTTTGCCATCTCGATAGCCAAAAGCTTCGATGTGACGTTCGCCATGTCCAAATCACTGTCACTCATCAGTAGTGTTGTTGTCACCATGCTGTACCGATTGGGTAGACCAACAAGGACGGTATACACCAGCTCGGAGTCGTTGATTATGTGGCCGACACCCAACAAGTCCGTTTGCAGCTGCCTCGCACGCGCGATATACTTCGGAGGTGGCTCGCCATCGACCATCTTGAAGCGGCTGAATTCTTGTCGTAGAGCCACCTTGCGGGCGTTGTTGTTGGCAGTGAACATCGAGTTCAAGGCATCCCAAGCCTTCTTCGCATTTGCGGCACCGGTGACCATCGGCAAATGGTGATCCTTCACGTTCTTGATAAGCAAATTGACGACTTTCCGTGATTGACAAATCTGCTCCTCGTTGCACGGCTCGGCAAGCAAAGACTGCTCAAGCCCAAGCTCCATGCACATCGTGCTAAACCTGATTTGCCACGTGGAGTAGTTGTGGAGGTCCAGCGGCTCATCAAGCTTATCCTTGACCATTGTCGATAAGGGATAGAAATAACAATCGGACGATAGCTGTCGGTGCTAGGCGGGGCTCATAACCTGTTGAAGAATTGGCAATGGTGACAGCTGATGCTGATTGCTATTCCGGAAGGAATGCCGGCGGTGAAGATATTGAGCATGGTAAACTGTTACAAGTAATGTAAAAAGTAATACTAGCGCTCGGCAGAACTTTAGGAGATTCCGCTTGAGGAATACTGATCGTTGTGAGATAAAGAAATAAGCGCAGTCACCACCCTAAATACCGGTGCTAGCGGAAAACTCATACATTCCACGATCTCACTGCGCCGTCCTGACGGTGCCCAAATGTCTACCAATTAACTACCGGATATGCATCGGTAGCTTCATAAAGTTCTGGGGTAAGTCTTCCCCAATAGTCAGGTGCAGACCCGGGGGTCAAATCCCCTGTTTGACAACTACACGAGTTGGGAGAGGACCGTTTCCTCAACACGCCCACCATCCATCCTGGACACAAGGAGACGTCCAAGACACATGGCCGAGAGAACTGAGGCACGGCCGAGGCATGGCCGAGGCAAGGTCATGGCACGGCCTAGGCAAGGTTTAGGCATGGCCGAGGCACGGCTGAGGCACGGCCAAGAGTCATCACCCTGCCCTTATGTTGGGATAGGACCGCATTTCAACACATAGTGTGAGAGGGTGGTTAGCGGTGAGGTGCAGTTGGAATACTGCCCTACGGAGTGGATGGTTGCGGATGCTCCACGAAGGCTCTGGGTGAGGTGAAATTCAAATGTTGCCGAGATGCGATGGGCCTTGTGTGAAGCGTGCTGATGAACCTGGTACTCGTTGGGATACAGCCCGAGGGGGCGTGTTGAGGAAACCGTCCTCTCCCAACTTGTTTGGTTGTCGACCAGGGGATTAGACCCTGGGTCTGCACGTAACTTTTGGGGTAGACTTATCCCAGAACTTTATAGGGCTACCGATGCATATCCGGTAGCTAAATGATAGACATTTGGGCACCGTCAGGATGGCGCAGTGAGATCATGGAATGTATGTGCAGTGAGATCATGGAATGTACGTGCAGTGAGATCACGGAATGTACGAGTTTACTGCTGCACCGGTATTTAGGGTGGTGACTACGCTTATTTCTTTATCTCACAACGATCGGTATTCCTCAAACGGAATCTCCTAAAGTCCTGCCGAACACTAATATTACTTTTTACATTACTTGTAACAGTTTATCGTGTTCAATATCTTCGCCGCCGGCATTCCTTCCGGAATAACAATCAGCATCAGCTGTCACCATCGCCAATTCTTCAACAGGTTATGAGCCCCGCCTAGCACCGACAGCTATCGTCCGATTGTTATTTCTATCCCTTATCGACAATGGTCAAGGATAAGCTTGATGAGCCGCTGGACGTCCACAACTACTCCATGTGGCAAATACGGTTTAGCGCGATGTGCATGGAGCTTGGGCTTGAGCAGCCTTTGCTCGCTGAGCCGTGCAATGAGGAGCAGAATTGTCAATCACGGAAAGACATCAATCTGCTTATCAAGAACGTGAAGGATCACCATTTGCCGATGGTCACTGGTGCCACAAACACGAAGAAGGCTTGGGATGCCTTGAACTCGATGTTCACTGCCAACAACAACGCCCACAAGGTGGCTCTACGACAAGAATTCAGCCGCTTCAAGATGGTTGACGGTGATCCACTATTAAAGTATTTCACACGTGCGAGGCAGCTGCAAACGGACCTGTTGGGTGTCGGCCACGTAATTAACGACTCAGAGCTGGTGTATACCGTCCTTGTTGGTCTACCCAATCGGTACAGCATGGTGACGACAACACTACTGATGCGTGACGGTGATTTGGACATGGTGAACGTCACATCGAAGCTTTTAGCTATCGAGACGGCAAACGGTGGGTCAGGCAAATCTACCGAGTCGGCAGTGTTTGCATCTGTCGGCGGTTTGACATTCGGTGTTTCTAATTCTGGTTATGGCAGCCGGGGCCGGCTAGCAACAGCTCGGGACACAGTAAGAAGCAACTCATCTGCTACTACTGCAACAAGCCTGGGCACGTGGTAAAGGACTGCACGCAGCTTAAAGCGCTCAAGCAGTCGTCAATTTCTGGATATAAGGGTGGCTACAACAACAGTGGCAGCGGAGCTAGCAGCAGCAAGCCAGGATCCGGTGGATCAGCTAGGGGGCCAGGAGTTCTGCGGCAGGTAGCGTTCATGGCATACAACAGCGAGCGTCCGACGGGATGGTTTCTGGACTCCGCATCTACTCACCATGTAATGTAATGTAATGTTACAGAGTGGGAGGCTTCTGGGCCGCTTTATCACCATGTAACTTACGACCGATCTGAACTACTCAATGTTATTGGAGAATTGGCGACGGTGACGGCTAACGCTGATTGTTATTCCGGAAGGATTGCCGGTGGCGAAGATATTTAGCACGATAAAATGTTACAAGTAATGTAAAGAGTATTGTTAGCGTTCGGCAGGACTTGAGGAGATTCCTGGTAGGAATACCGATCGTTGTGAGATAAACTAATAGGCGCAGTCACCGCCCTAAATACCGGCGCTAGCGGAAAACTCGTACATTCCGCGATCTAACTGCACGTACATTCCGCGATCTCACTGCGCCGTCCAGACGGTGCCCTAATGTCTATCACTTAGCTACCGGATATGCATCGGTAGCCCCATAAGGTTCTGGGGTAAGTCTTCCCCATTAGTCAGGCGCAGACCCGGGGTCAAATCCCCTGGTCGACAACCACACGAGTTGGGAGAGGACCGTTTCCTCAACAAATGTATGTGTGTTGGAGCCTTGGGAATGCTTCAGCATTGTGGGCATTAAGGGCCAGTCACTGCGTCCAACAAAGGTTGCCTTCGGTGACCATTGGCAGATGAAGGTCCTTCACGTTCTCCATCAGCAAATTAACAACCTTACATGATTGTCGAATTTGCTCCTCGTTGCACGGCTCAGCGAGCAAAGCCTGCTCAAGCCCAAGCTCCATGCAAAGGAATAGTTGTCGAGGTCCAGCGGCTCATCAAGTTTGTCCTTCGCCATTGTTGATTAGAAACGAAATAACAAATCAAGCTATAGCTGCCGGCGCTAAACTGGGGTTCATAACCTGTTGGAGAATTGACAGCGGTGGCAGCTGGTGCTGACTGTCACTATGACAACGGGTGATCGCGTTATGTCGCGTTAAATTCACGTTACGAGGCCTTAACACGAGTTTAACGCGATGCTAACGCGATATAACGCGACTTTAAGCACTGATAACGCACCGGTTCGCTTGTGCATATGCCCTAACGCTCTTCATCTTTATTCGCATGCGAACCAGCTGGCAGTGTGTTAGCTGAAGCAACTAACACAAACTTTACCCGATCGTAAACGCGACCAGTTGAATTTTAACACCAGCGTTAGCTTACCTATAGGTGTAACGCAAATGCCTGCGAATGGCATACACGGCTGCGGATTGTGTGAATGCGTATGCGTGTGCGAATGCGGCGAAGGATCACGAGTTTTACGCGACCCTAAACGCGACCAGGTAACTTTTAACGGAGTGTACCGCCAAACGCAAGGGATTGTGAATGGCATAGCGACTGCGAATCTTGCGAATGCATATGTGTTTGCGACTTTAACGAATGCATTCACAGAATTTTCGCAAACCTAAGTGCAACCATCTCAATTTAATGCGAGTGACTTCGATTTGCGTACGGGACTGCGAACTGTACGGCCAGCCGTGCAATACAAAGCTTTACAATAAAAATAAGTCGGTAGTGCCAAGGTCTGCCTGGTCTGGTGGCGCCTTCGTGTATATGAAGATTCCGGGTTCGACTCCTGGTCAGACCCCCGACATTGTTCGGGAGGTCTAGGTTTACTAACGCTGCTGAGGTGTGGAGATGAGGTCTAGATGATGGACTAAGTTTCGCATGCTGAGATGGTGGTGGTGGCTGATCTGTCTCTACGGATGTTGGGTGACTGGATGAGGAGGGGTCTAGTTGGCAGGACCCAAACCGCCGTCGGTCGTACGGTATATCAATCAACTTTCAATACATATAGTCCATGGCCTCCCGGCTTTGACGGACACCCCCGCACTCGTGCGGCACTTGTAACTTGTAACTAGCTAAGGTTTGAGAAACTGCTGCGAATGCACTCACTAAAGTTGCAATCACACATGCAATCGCAAAAAGCGCAGTGGTGTATGCCAGTCGCAATCCCTTGCGTTTGGTGATACGCTCGTGTTAATAGTAACGTGGTCACGTTTACAATACCGTAAAGTTTGCGTAAGTTGCTTAAGCTAACACACTGCCAGCCAAAAGTACTCAGCTCGTTCGCATACGTGCACAAGTGAACCGGTGCGTTATCAGTGCTTAAACTCGTGTTACATCGCGTTAGCATCGTGTTAAACTCGCATTAAAGCCTCGTAACGTGAATTTAACCCGACATAACACGACATAATAGTGTTACGCATAGTGTTTGGGGGCTCAGGCCTCATTGGGGGCTCAGGCCTCACAATGGTTGTGGTTTCTGAGCCTTCCCTTTGGTTGCGCTTTTGGCTGTCTAGATGACTTGCATTGTCTCATTTGGATCGGAGTCTAGTTTGCCATGTTCATCTCAAGGACAGTGCACGGCCCGCTGGCCTGCTGGCTCTACTCTTTGTGAGTCTGGAGCCCACTGTAACCACACACACCTATGCTTTGTAATCAGATTTGCTTTCCTCCATCCATCCAGATGGTGCTGGACAAGGGATTCATCAAAGCACACACCTGAACAGAGTACCACTTCACTGCTTTCAAACCACATCCTCCGTCACCATAGTCCACCATAATCACCTTCAGACTCATGGGAGCTAACTTCCCCTGCTTAGCTTTTGGGGACGTTACCAAATTGCTGACTGGTGAAATGTTTTGCAAATAGTTTATCATGGCCTCTGCCCACAAGGACATCGGCAATCTAGACTATATCAACATAGCCTTTTCCATAAGCATCCGATTCTGTCGATTCTGCTCTGGTGTATAACCCACCGTTGTGCCGTGACATATACTACTGCTGCGGAAGAATGCTCGTTGTGGAGCACTCAGGAACTCGCCCCTCGATCAGTACGTACTTCTTGGACTTTGAAGCCCGTCAGCCGCTCCAGCTGGTTCACCATTTCCATCATCTTGTCCTTCACTGCCTCCTTCGTGCGGGTGAACGCAACTGCAGAGAAGCTGGAATAATCATCGAGCAAAGTCATAACATACATGACTCCATCCAGCTGGCATAGGCATGTCCAGCAGAAGGATATGGACCCCTTGTCTATTTCACAAAAGTGCAGGAAACCTGCTCTTGCTGCTGCAATGTTAAGTCGGCTAATGTCAACACTGACTACCATATTATTCTGCACTAGCCTAAGTTAGAATATCCCAGATGGCCCATACGTCGATGCCACAGTATCACACTCACTGTACTCAATTGCCGTACTTGATGGACCATATCTTGTGACGCATTCTGATCCCGTTGAGCAGTTCCACAGCCTCGCGCTGCTTGACCAGGCGCCACCGCACACATAACGTCCCGGACGATCGTGGCACTCCTGTTGCCAAGCTCCCCTGGCTCAGCACCCTCAGCGGAAGAGGTAGGATCGCTTGTCGAGAGCATATAGGTGGACATCCAGTGTTTTTTTTTCAAGTAATATATTCCTTATAAGGAATAAAGAGGCCATTTTGGCCTTTGGAAAAACGGAATGAATTGAGGCCGATCCGTACATTTTCATTCCTCCAGCCAAAAACGTCCATTGCTGCCAGATTGCTCCGTAATGTGCAGAACTTAGGGGGTGTTTCCACTTGGATTAAAAGTCGCGGATTAAGGCTTAATCCGTCGCATATGGAAACATCGCGCGGATTAGGACGGATTAGGCGGATTAAGGTTGGCGCGATTAGTTAGAGATTTCCGTCCGTATTCACGCGCTTCGCGGATTAATTATAGATTAATATGCTATGAAATGCGAGCTTTCTGCTTATACTAAAAGCTCAAACTTGGTGCGAAAAATTTGCTACCTGGTGGCCACCAGGTATCAAATTGACATTTCTGAAGTCAAAGAGCCCGCCACCGTAAGGGCCGGATTAGTTGGGGCGAGCATCCGTATGATACGAAGGGCTCACTTACAACCTTTGTAACGCTCTCCGCCTAAGCGAGCCCCACGCACCACGCACGAACGAATTTAGGCCCTTTTCGGTGATATCCAAATTTTTTGGAAGCGCGATCGCGCCCCGTTTTATTGTAATAATTTTCCGTGTTCCTGAATCGAGTAATCGTGTTATCGCGAGTACCCGTTAGCATTATGTTTCCTCTCGTACCTGGCGGCTTACCGTGGGGCCAAGACCCACTTACTTCGTCTACTCATCGATTCGTTACCGTTACGCCTGTGCGTGACGATCTCATCGTCCCGCCGTTACACCTGCCGCTGGTACGTTTTGTCTGTTTTCGATGGACGTCCGTCAGCTTAGTGCGTCNTACGCCTCGGCTCTATGATCACCGCAGGTCTTTCCTGGTAATCCTCTCCCTGCCATGCCTCCGCTTGCTGCGGGCCCTATCCGTCTCCCGAGGTCGGCGCCGCCGCCTTTAGACCCTGTCGCGGCTCTGTATTACTCTGAGTTTACCGGGGACGTGTCGGTGCGGCCGCCGCTCACGGCCGCCTTGCTCTCGATCTACCAGGTGCACCAACGTCAGTGGGTCTCGGAGAGCTGGTGGCGGGTTCAAAGTGCTGCGCGAGAATTTCATGGCTGGTTGCAGCGCCAGTCTCTCGGGCTCACCTTGCTCACCTGCGATCCTATGTCCATTGTTTCGTATCTGGTGGAATGGTGGTTCCCCCGGCACCCTGGGCGTCTGCGGGCTGACCGGCGTCCCAGCGCCAGTGCTGTGAAAGGGGTTATCTCGAGCCTTGCGACTGCTTTTAAGCAGCTGGGCCGGGAAGGGGACTATGACGCCTCTCAAAGCCGCGGGAATCCTTGCGACAGCTCCTTGGTGCGAGGCTATGTCAAGGGCTACGGGCGGGACCTTAGTGACGCCGGTTATGTGGAGCGAGGCGCCATCCCTTTGACCACGGAAAAGTTTCGTCGCCTGGCCTGCCATCTGTGGACTGCGTCCGGCGACGAAGAGCATTTGTTTGCTCGCAGTTTGGTGCTTCGGGACTTGTCTCTATTTGCTTTAATGTGGCATACGTATCAGCGCGGTCATGATGTCGGCAAGCTGGTGTTAAGTGATTTCAGGGATCCGGTGCATGGCCGTACCGAGTACCAGGGCTGGCCGTTACCCCTACCCGCGCCTGACGGGAGTGTCTCTCCCGACACTGTACTCCGTATCGAAGAATTAAATACCAAGACGTACAAGGGTCAGCGTGCTCCTGCGACGATGTTGCGTCCGGATCGTGATCCTATCGTCTGCGCGCTGCGGGTTCTTGCAGTGTACATGAGCATGTGTACGAGGGCCGGTACCCCTATTACCCAATACCTCTTCCGTCCGGCGGAGCGCAG